TCAATCCTATCAAATTTAACCCAATCCTATTAAACTTAATCAAATCCTATCAACCTCAACTGCCTTTATCCAATCCATATTTAATTCCAAACCTGTTCAAATCCATTCAAATCCAATCAAATCCACAATTAAATTCAAATTCACAATTAAATTTGTTTCTCAAGCCTGATCTTTCGATTTAAGCTCTGTAACATCACTCAGATTGTCAAGAACTGGGCTCAATCCTAAGTGTAGACTTATTTTAAAGCTCAATTGAGGTCAATGTTTGTACAAACTTGTCCCTTTTATTTAAAAGTCTTTAAACTCCATCTCATAAACATTCATTAAAGAATAACAGAGATATAACGCATAACTTTAATTAAGAATGTTCTCAAGAGTAATTCTTGAGATGTAATTAACTATGAGGGAGCTCCCTCATAAGGATACCGAACCTAAGAATTAATTAAACTTATCTTACACTCGTAGATAAGGAAAAGATCCTAGTTACGCAGATCCATAAATCAAAAAAATTCTCATCTGAATGATTAAATTCATTCTAAAATATATTTCTATCTTTCGAGATATTATATTATTCTTTGAATGTTGTTTTTAATCATTTAAAAAGAAATCTTTCAAGGTCTATGGCGGTCACCCAAAAAAAAAAAATTCATCACTTGTTAGAGATTTCATAGATGAGGAGCCGATAGTCCAAAAATTTGACCTGAAGTATCTAAGCCAAGATTTTAATGTAAATGTTGATTTTCCATATTTTGATAGCCCCTTTGATCTGAACGAGTTCATTGAATGGCTCCATACTATGGAAATTTTCCATAAGTACCAGGACGTCCAACAGAAAAAAATAGTGAAACTAATAAGTTAAAGAAGAATGCATTATTTTGATGGCAAAATTTGAAGCACTTATGTCAACGTGTGTGAAAAGATAAGATCACTACTTGGTCTCAGATGAAGCGAGAGGAGCGTTAGTACCTCCAGTTCATTACAAGCATGATGTGTAGACCCTAGTTTTAAAAATGGAAAGACAACAATAGCTAAAACCGATAAACTGCTATGTGCCACGGGACAACATCTCCAATATTGGGACAGTGGGTTTGTGGAATGTCAAGCTATTCTCTCAATCAAACAGCTCAGCAAACTACCAATGATTGAGGTAAATAAATTGTTATTGAAGGTCATAAAGCTAACATTAACAACTAAATGCTGAATTCGATGGCTGAAAAGCCTGAAGAGATGAACCCGAGCAATGTCATAATTTTTATTTCTTAACTCTTTTAGACATGTTTTGTTTTGTTCTTCTGGAGCTCAATCAAGTCGTCCATTTTTGTGCCCAAAAGACTCTTTTACATAATGTTTCCATTTGTTCAATCTCAGAGTCCTCAGAGCTTTTGACATCCTCCGAGATGATAGGACCATTTTTGCTCTTGCCAGTAGGCATGTTTTTGCATTTTTTGTAACCTTCTTGATATTTTAATTGAAGGGTGACCACCGCATCTTACAAGCAGAGTTCAATCTTAATATATTACAATAAGAGCACACTCAAGGGAACATCCAAGCAGAGTCAGCCAGAGAGGAGGCGAAGAACATGTTGAACTAATCCACATTCCCAATTTTGTCTCAGCTAAAAAGTGTTTTAAGTGTCTTCAATTTAGTCATGCCGAATCAGATTTCACAATCACGAAGATCTCTTTCAAAGATCAGGAAGTTGAAAAAAAATTGTGATCCAAGAAAAGATGAAGATTTCAGAGAGGATTATCAACTTCCAGTTGAAGAGGAATAGTTGTCAGCAATTCTAGTTGAACCAGGAGAGAGACTCCATCTGACTTGATGATAATTGTTGTAGATGGTAGTAAGTCCAAGGGAATGAACGTTCCTGAAATATGGAATGAACATTCATACAAAGCAAAATTGTGGTGCATCGAATTACATTTTTACAGGCTTTTGGAGAAGCATCAGCAGGATTGGCATTTGATGTCTAAAATGACCATGAGTTTGAGGAGTCGATACTAGACACATGGCAACATTAGATAAGAAGATTTCAAAATTTCTAGATATTTAGCATACCTTCCGAGAGAGGTCTAACATATTAGAGATGAGAAGCTTTTGAGATACTTTTGTAATACTATATGAAGTTATTTGGGTAGTAAATTCAATTCAACAGTGTACCCACCGACAGATGAGCAGCAGGAGGGATGATCTGCAGTGTTGGAAACTACTTTAGGAGCGTAATGGAAAAGAACATCCTACATTGGGTGGGATCCAAGTCCTTCCAGGGAAGAAGAAGAAGAAGAGATCTCTCATGAGTGTTGACACTTTAGTGTTGTCCAGCCTCTTATAGATTTTATTTCAGAGTTAAATCCTCCCAAAAGACATATTTATAGGATACAATTAACCGAGTATGAGAAGTAGGATAAGAAGGTTACAGACTTAAGGGCTCTAGAGCTATTTGTGGGAATCAATAGTTATATTCAGCTCCAACCTAGGTGGTGTGAAAAGATGAATATTTATTCTATCAAAATATGTTGTAGAATGACGTCTGCACGAGTGATTTAACCATGATGTTACAATAGCTCCATCACCTTTAATGTGATTGACCTAACACTATACTACGAGGAGCTAGAAGCTTCAACAGATGGGATTAGAGCTCCAACATAGGGCATGCGCGGAAGAAATCTAGCGATTGAAGCAAATGGGACGTCCTGTGACATGATCGACTCTTTTTGTTGTACCTGCACCAAACCGAACCAATTTTTTTTTTTAAGTTGAGTAGGTTGGTCCTCTTGGACCACACCTAATTGTCCTATTACTATATATCTATTTTTCGTGCTTTAGGTTGCCAATGTTCTTGGAGTATGTTTTATGTCGGGACAACCATTGGCGTCCTATTTCTCCCTTCTATGGTTGTATGGTGGGAGATGCTCCACCTGTAGCTAATCCAAAGTGGTGATTTCCTTCCAAGGGATTATGTGGTGCTTCGACCGTAGCTCAGTCTCACTGGGATATTTAACTTCGACATTTTCATTGTCCAGATTCCTCCACTTACTGTCGCCACCGCCTTTCCTTGCTGCCAGAACCATAAGATAGCTTTCTAGCTGGCTTCCTGCAACTCTAGCCACTAGCTCGACCTGTTGTCGTCCCTTGCAATCACGTCACACCTTGCAGCCATTCATTCCAACTCGCTCTCTTCGATGTTTATCCATCTCCCTCACCGTCGCAACCTCAGAATAGCCCTTCCAATCACGTCACACTATTCTAGGTTGTCTTGCTGCTATTCTAGCCACCATGACCACCCCATCGGCAACCTTAATGCTGTCCTTGCCTTTCCCAGCCTCCCCAAATACCGCTCCTCATCTTCTCACGCATGGCCTCCTACAGAATCTGCGCCCTACATCCTTCCTACATTCTGTCATCATCCAAAATAATCATTCCACATCATTATCCGCTGGCTTCTTGCTGTCCGGGCCGGGAAACTGCTGCCTTGTTGTTTTTTGTTTGCCGACCAACTCGTCCACACCATCAACACCTTCCGACACTCGCGATCACCACTATTACCTCGAGATCCACCCTAGTTTGAGTTTGTGTTCATTTATTGTTATTTCCTATGTCAGATTTCTAAGTGTCGTGTTTGCTGTAATTTTCCATTCAAGTGTGTTTGATTATAACTGTCTATTTACTTTTAATAATAAAAATTGTTCTTCCTATTGGGATTTGGGTTAACTCCCATAATATTACTTTATATGAAGAGAAAAAAATTCTCAAAAAAATGGTAGGTTGGTTATGAATCTACCGCAAATGGTTTGAATTTTTCAGCATTCTTTTCTTAGATTGGTTTCACTCAATTCCCAGCATTTAAACACAAACTTATTGTTTTGTTCTTCAAAAAATTGAAGTAAAATTGGTTAACCTACGGTTCCTTGAGCATGTAGTTGGACATTCATTATTAAAATAACACAAGAACTTCAAATGTATAAAACTCAGGCTTTCTTTCACAAATCGTAGACCTTAGTTTTCTTCTCTCGACTATTTAAGAAATGAAGAATGAATACGGCTAAGTTGGATTACTACACTAATTAAATATTAACAGCAGTGTAGTGCTACAGAGCATTACTCTACATTAATAACAGTAACTCTTCATAAATTAGGTAGATAAAATTAAAATCTATCAACAATTAGATTAAATTAAAAAGAGCAGCCCAAATTGAACGATGTAAGACTAAAATTAATCTCTTCAATTAATACTACATCATCAATAGTTACATACCTTACACACGAACATATTAGGCCTTCATATACTCATAATATTACATTAACAAATCTTTTTTCCAGCATGCCCTGCTTACTCTGACAATTTGCACTCAAATCCTCAATAGAAAATTTACTCATAGAAAATGCAGAGAAACATACAAAATACTGTTCATTCTACCACCACCGGAAGTCAATCAACAGAGTACATCAATATTTCCAAAATAAAGCCAATTTTACATGCCTAGCATACAATTCTTAAGTTGTTACATACTAACACCTAAACTGTCATATTTACAAACATTGCACTTTGGTGATTTAAAACTATGCATGAAAAGATGTATTTCAGTTTTAAAAAGTGACAATAATGCTATTTTTGGTAAGATATTAAAGATTTGAGTGGCACCCTTAAAAATATGAAAGTTTAGGTGTGAGATATGTAAATACATTAGATTTGTGTGCTATATATATATATGTAAATTCCCCATAAATAAAATGCCATTAATTTGTGTGCAGTCAGTACTATCGCATCAATAATTACATAGCTAAAATTGTTGACACATAGTTAATAGGTGTTTTATACAACTAAGAAAACAAGAGCATGTCATTCTCTAAAAATACGATCTGCTTACTTTATTAGGCTCAAATATGGTAACTATCATAAATGTTAAACCAAAGCAACATCATTACTTGTATTCTTTCTATGACAAACCCGTATCAACCAATTGAAAAAGTTTAATAGGTCAAAGGGAAAAAAGACATACCTTGATTTTGTCACGCCATCCGAGGCCAAATGATCTAGAAAGTAGACTGACTTTTTTAGATGGAAATTCCTGTTGAGAATCATGACCGGACTTCACATGCGAGTTATCCAAGGATGTTCTGCTGATTAACAGAAAATCAAAAGAATTTCTTGCACAAATGGTGCACTACAAAACCATTCAGCAAAATTGATTAATTCACACGTCTAAATATATATTAATATAAGGGTAATTAGATTTGTACAAGTACATTAATGATTGCTTAAAAGATTGGCAATCCATTTCTGCATGTGATAAAAATAGCATTTATAAATGCAGCACATAATAATAAAGAGCCTTTCAGAATATTGAATCTACTTAAGCTACATGTAAATAAAAATTGCATTATCAAAACTCCAGAAAAAAGGTACCTTGGGGAAGGGCATGGAGATTTCTGCGCTTTTGTTTGGCTAGACTGGTACTGCAAAGTAGCCTCCAGCATTGTTTCTGCCATTATAGCCCTCTTTTCTATTTGAGCAAACAAAGTCATTGCTTCTTCATATCTTTCCTGCATGAATCTGGTAAAAGTGGGTAAAAACATTCAAAAAGAAAATAAACTGAAACAATTAAATTCAGGGTGGCTTTGCCACTTACGACATAAATTAAGAAAAGGACCAAAATAGTCCCCCAACGCTTGCAGGGGACCAATGTAATCATCAAATCATGTGTAAAAGGACTAATCTAGTTCCCGGCCTATTTAAAAAGGACCAAAATAGTCCTGCCATGAAAACTCGAAATAAAAGGTGTTTAAGAGGGGGTGGAGGGTATTAGAATTTCTTAATTTATATTTATTATTATTATTTTGATTATATTTTTTTTTGCAGTAATCTCCTTGTTGAGAAAATTAGGGGCGAAGAAAAACAGTAATCGACACAAATCCAGAAGAACACAGAGATTTAACGAGGTTCGGCAAATATGCCTACGTCCTCGGGAGCAGAGCGGCGAGTTCCTTTCAATATTCAGAAAAGAGGGATACCTCCTGGGGTTACTAACAGGCCTATTTATAACCCCAGGAGTAAACCCAGACACAATATGTAATTACAACATTACCCCTGTACCAAACCGCGGGGTTTTGCCCCCGCATCCCAACCCACGTAACTTCCCAATTTGGACAGATTCTTCCGCTCTGCTCCGCTCCGCTTTGATCCAGCGTCTGTCCCGATATGGTATATGAGCCATACCATAACACTCCTAAACTTATTTTTTCAGATAGAGCAAATAAATTGCAGGAGAAAATGCAGATTATCGAGCAAGCTCATTTCTACAATATATAATTTGTTCCATATTTTCTAATACATATTATTGTCCAGGTTAGTTTATGTTTCTATTCAAAAACTATAAAATTTATAATATAGCGTATTAATTCATTCTATTTTATCCATACACAAATTTAACATGAAATTATGCTGAAAAATAATTTGTTTTCAATAAAATATGGTGTGAGTAAAGATTAATGATCTTAAAATTAATACTTGTAACAATGTCTTTACATTTTCAAACTAGTGTAGCAATTTAAAATTGGGAATTTCACACACATACCACACAATTCTTATGTATTTATTTCATATTTATATTTGTAACAATTTGCTGTTATAAATTTAAGCATGAAAAGGTGTATTTAGCTTTTACGTATTTATTTCATATTTATATTTGTAACAATTTGCTTTTAACGAGTTAATATTTTTTATGTGATGTAAACATTTGAGGTGTTAAATATGTAAATATATAAGAATTCTGGGTATGTATGTAAATGCCCCTTATAGGGAGAAATTATTAGGCTGAGATAGGTAACGGTAGAATCAAAGCTGTACGTTGGAATGGAATCAGAAGAGCGATGAAAGAGGATCTGAATCTTAAATATACTAAACACGCTAATTACAAGGCCTCTCTCTATCTTCATCCTTTACTCTAAGCCGCCGGCGACAACCCACGCTTATACACCCACTTGTCAATCTCCGTTTAAAAAACTGCTCTACCTCTACTTTCCCATAAGAACCAGCATCACCTCTCATTTGAATACTACAGAGACCAACTAGCTTATTAACACAAATGGTTCCATCAGAGCCGGCCAGCCATCTCTCTCTCTCTCTCTCCCCCCTCCCTCTCCTTTTCGACTGTCCGGTAATGAAAATGATGACAAACCAGAATCAGAAGGTGGTAGGAAAGCATAAATGTAGTATCAATGTAATATCTGCAACAAGAGACTCACGTGCAGACGAGAGCTCGACGGGTGCATGCTGACCCACGGGCTCAACGATGAACATGTTAATGAGCCACAAAAAAACAAACCCTAAGTCGTAGCTGATAGAGATGCCACTGCCGACAAGACGTTATGTGCCATCGGCGGTAACCCTATTACACTAGTGAAAACTGCACCACTGAATTTATTTCAAGGAATTCATATTTCAAACATGGTTGTTTAGGGCCTGCCGTTGGCATCGACAATGATGACCGAGATGGCCTTTCTCCAACTTCATACCCTTGCTCCTGGTAAAAAGGTTAACAAAGCAATCGCGATGGAGAACCAAGTTAGTAACCTATTCCCTCACAAAAGATCCAACTCTGTAGCGCCAGCACTAGCATGTCCCTTTCCCAAACCTAAACCTTCGCCAAACTTGTAAGAGGGTCTTCACATCTCAATAGGCCCTCAATAACCATCTTACCAGCCATAAAAAAAAAAAAATTTAAGGGATATTTCACAGCCTGGCTCAAAATCAAATCAACCAATGCCACGAACACACAAATTCAAGATGAAAATAACAGTTTTGATAACTAAAATATTATGATTAGGTCTTCATTGGAAAATCTGGCGTTACCCATTGTCCCATGGCAGAAGATTTAATGCAGCTATTTCCAAACAAGAATCATAAGCAGCACATATGCTTCGTTTGTTGCCAGCAGTTTCCATCCGGCATGGTGCTTGGTGGGCATAAGCGTTACCATTGGACATCATTGAAATCTGCCACTGCCACTGACCCGACAATTATCGCTACTGCGAACAAGGAATTAAGAGCTAGTAGTGGCGAATCTAATGAAATACAAACCCATATCCCAACTTTTATGAAAATGTTCAAAATTCAGCTCAGACCAAGGATCTGAATATGCTAGTACCCATTGATGATATTGACGGAAGCCTGCTGTGGCTTGGCATGCGCAATGTTATATATCCACAACCTGGACGGGGTACAGAGCAGAAGAGAAAGAACCAAAAGTCCACTGCTACTAGGGCTAATGGTAATGTGAAGGAGGAGGTGTTGAAAGAGATTTTGGAGAATGAGGCAAGCAAAGAGGTGAAGGTGGTCGATCTTAGTGATCTCAGGGGCATGGATGAGGAAGATAAAAGCTCTGCATGGTTGCAGATCCATATCAAATGAAGAGGATAGCACAAAAATGATCATAACTTATAAATTAAAACACAATTCTATGTTTTTATTGATTGTTGAGGGAGACGGTCAAAATTTTAAGGGCAAACATATAAAGAAGAAACAAACAAGAGAAGAGAGATAATGCCAGCAATTTAAATTATTAGTTTGATTGGGTATCACATTGTGCTTTGGAAAAAAGAAGTTTAAATTAGCTTTGTTTAATATATAACTATAAGAAAAATTGAAAAAAAAAATAATATAGATGCAGAGATTCACATCTATTTTCGATTAATTATGAATATGAATTAAAAAACTTCATACATACAACTAATCATCATGATATCTTTTAACTGATTATGCTGGTTATATAATGTTTTGTACATAATATATTAAATGTGTGATTAGTTCTCATCATTTTTAATATAAGATTTATGGAGCAGCATGTATTGAAGAGGGACTGATCAAAGTTATAATTGATCTATTGAATAATTTCTAATTTTCATAAGGTTAGTGCCTAGTTATGGCAATTTATTTTTGCTTTTTATTTTTTGGTTTATTGATAATATATTGAATTTTTCTTATTTGATGATCCAACTTTCTTGATGAAACGCTACTTAAAATTGTATTGATTAAAAAATGTTAATATTTATATTTATCATTAATAACGTTTCTATGATATATAATTATTTATGATTTTTTTTTCCGAAAGTAAGTACAGATATAACACTAAATATTTGAATTAAACTAGTTTTCAAATTCTAACTCAAATATTGAGATTCATAACAGAAACTCAACCTTTATTATTTCGCTTCTGTTAAATTGTTAATCATTTGAGCGTGACACTTAAAATAGTCAATTTAGACACATAAATCAATGAACTCATTTAGCAGGTCAACTCAAATTGGACTCAACCAAACCAGTCCACCCATAGCCAGAGTAGTCCCAACAATCCTTGAAGCAACTCACTCTGAGGCATCCAACAAATCTAATCTCAAGCAAAGATGGTCGGGAGAAGTGAACTTGACTAGTTCCTCTAAGCCATCAACTCCAGCATGGCCACCGATCACATGCACTGATGTCAATCAGCCAACCATCAGCAATCCCTATAATGATGTGATATGATGACAACACTAATTGTAAACTATTAAATCGACCGCTTGATTGTTGACACTAGGAGCATAGTGAATATTATCTTTAAAAGCATTTACAATAATACAAACTATGGGAGCTCACGAACTGTTCCCATCTCAAGAGCTCTCTTTGATTTCTTTGGAGAACTTGAGGAGACCATTAGAGTGTTTACCTTGTCAATAACCAAGGGAGTGGAGAGAGACGGATCAAAGCAATAGTCGACTTCATTATAGTAGACAGCCGGGCCTCTCCTAAACACATTCAGAGTAGTGGTATCTACTTGCGATGTCTACATCAAATTCTTAGGTGGCACACACTTTGTGATAGTTCAGGGCAATCTCCTACAATCCATAAAGTGATACTTTAACGCTATGAACCACATAGAAGAGAAAACTCGACACCATGACATCCAAGAGGCACTGAAATGTACTTTTAGGCCACCAAAGAAAAAATTATTGGCTTCTTACTTGCCCTACTGTCCTCACAGTAAATTTGTCCTAGACATACTCAACATAACATCACACTGAAGCGTTAAAAAGAGGCAGAAATTGATGGGCCAAATTGCCAAATTAAGCATATTCATTCCCAAATCAAGGAACATATGCTCAGCAAAGCTTCAAATGCAAGACTTATCCTCACGCTAGTCTTAGCATGCACTCAAATCCTTGCCTCACCTCATGCATCAGTGCCATTGAGTTCTCTTTGCCTAGGCACCCTCACGACAGCCTTGTCATCATCTAACACTCAAGCTCATACTCTCATCTGCTTGTATAGTGAGTGGTTCCACTTGACTGGTGGAGAAATAGATAAAAAATTCCAAAAAAAAAAACCTTGCAATTCTTTGCAACTTCCTTGCATTCTCTGAGTATTTCATTCATTTGACCTCAAATTTGGATGGCAAATCTCTTTTAGTTCTTAATTAAAATGTCAAAAGACTCATTTGAGAATTTTATAGACTCCAGAATTATTTTGGTCCCCATTCAAATAATCGGAACATAAAGTAAATATGCAC